AGAGGAGAGCTCGAGGACATCCCTTTTCGAGGGAGATTCTCGCTGCTCCTTTGCCAAATAATTTCAAGGAGACCAACCTGGTGTATGATGGGTCATCTGACCCGTCGAGGCATGTGCGGACCTTCGAAAATATGGCTGTGTTGCATGGATATTCTGATTCTGTTTGTTGTAGGGCCTTTTTATCGACCCTACGTGGAGGAGCACTCGATTGGTTTCATCAACTTCCCCTTGGGTCGGTCGCGAGCTTTGAGGACTTTACTGGCAAGCTTATCAATCAATATTCGAGCGCGGTGGTGCAGGAGAAAACATATCTGACTTTGATGGCGATGAGGCAGGGGGAGAAGGAGTCATTGAGGAAGTATGTCGCTCGATATAACCAAACGTGTTTAGAGGTGCACTCGGCTTCGGACGAGGTGAAGGTGGGTGAATTGATAAGGAGTCTTCGAGCGGGGCCTTGTCGAACTTCCCTATCCAAGACCCCTGCTCGATCATATGACGATGTTCTGAAGCGGTGCAAGAAGTATATTAATTTGGAAGAAATGAAGATGGAGTTTGAAAAACTGGAGGGAGTAGCTCGACCAGAGCCAAAAAAAAGAGAAAAGCCGGCAACGGGGGAGATCGCCGAGGAGAAATTCGCCTAAGCGGAGTGGGCAGAAGAGGGCGTCACCCCGGAGAGAGAGTCGAGATTCGAAAAGGGAGAAGAGAGATGAATGGCAGAGGAGGCCGATGTTGTTCGAGAGGCAGAGATACCACACCTTCACGCCCCTGAGAAAAGACATGACAGAGGTCCTCGAGGCCATGGAGCAAAAGATGTCGAGCGAGGATGTGACTTGGCCGAAGACGAGGTTTACGGGCCCAATTTGACCTAGGTCGGATATTTACTGTCGATTTCACCGAGATTATGGTCACACCATGGAGAACTGCAGGCATTTGAAAGATGAGATCGAAAGGCTGATTCGAGCAGGATATTTGAAGGAGTTTTTGTATCATGATAGGGTGAAAGGGAAAGGGAGGAGAAGGTGTAGGGAGGACTCGGAGGAAAGGAGTGATAGAGATGAGGATGGAGATGGTCGAGGCGGTCGAGGAAAGAAGCCAAGGAGGGATGATGATAAAGGAGGGCATGGAGGAGAAGCCCCGATGAAGAGAGGGACGATTTACATGATTTCTGGTGGCCCAACGAATAGCGAATCGAATAGGGCAAGGAAGGATCATGCTCGAGCTGTGAAGAGGAAGAGAGAGGAGGTGGGGATTACGGCCCGCATGCCAGTAATAAGTTTTAAGGCGGAGGATGCCGAAGGGGTGGTCCTGCTGCACAATGATGCTTTGGTG